ACAAACACACACACACAAACACACACACACAAACACACACAAACACACAAACACACAAACACACACACACAAACACACAAGCACACACACAAACACACACACACAAACACAACCCCACACACAAACACACAAACACAAACACAAACACACAAACACAAACACAGAAACACACATACAAACACAGACACAAACACACACAAACACACACAAACACACACACAAACACACACACACAAACACAGACACACAAACACACACGCACAAACACGCACAAACACACAAGCACACACAAACACACACACAAACACACACCACACACGAACACACACGAACACACACGAACACACACGAACACACACGAACACACATGAGCACACACACAAACACACACACGAACACGCACGAACACACACACACGAACACACACACACACACACGAACACACACACGAACATACACACACACGAACACACACACACACACGAACACACACACACACACGAACACACACACACACACACGAACACACACACGAGCACACACACACACACACGAACACACACACACGAACACAACCACACACACACACGAACACACACACACACACACGAACACACACACACACACACACGAACACGCACGCACGAACACGCACACACACAAACACACACACACACAAACACACACACACAAACACACACACACACACAAACAAACACAAACACGCACACACAAACACACACAAACACACACACAAACACACGAAAACACACACGAACACACACACGAACACACACACACACGAACACACACACGAACACACACACACACGAACACACACACGACCACACACACGAACACACACACGAACACACAAACACACACAAACACACACACACAAACAGACACGAACACACACGAACACACACACACACAAACACACACGAACACACACGAACACACACGAACACACACGAACACACACGAACACACACGAACACACACGAACACACACACGAACACACACACACACACGAACACACACACACGAACACACACACACACGAACACACAGACACAGACACAGACACACAGACACAGACACAGGAACACACACACGAACACACACACACACACACGAACACACATAGACACACACACACACGAACACACACACACACACAGACACAGACACAGACACAGACACACACGCACACACACACACACCACACACACACAGACACAGACACAGACACAGACACAGACACAGACACACACACCACACACACACAGGCAAATCCGAACGCACGATCGAACACACGAACACAAAAACACAGCAAAAATGAAGCACGAATGCACGAATACCAGAATGAAAGAACAAACTCACAAACACATGTACGCATCACGCCTGCATGAGCACGCTCGCGCACGCGCACGCGCGTGCACGCACACACACACGCAGACATGTTTAGTTTGCAAGCACTCAACGCACAACTCCTCATCTTTGCCGAGGACGTTTGCTGCAACACTGACTTCTTTGCGCGGTGCTGCCCCTTTGGCAGCTCATGCAACTGCGGCCCGGGAACCTGCGATTGTGCGGGCATGGACGTCAATTCCGCAGACAGGGCCTAGTGTCCCTGCATTGGTGCCCCCGCATTGCGCAGAAAATGCGCGAAACTGGCGTGTCTTCTGCCCTGCTGGTGTGTTGAAGGTTGTGGGAAGCTTGGATTTGTGGCACCTCTTGGGCAGGACTTTTGTTGACAATGCTCAGGTTTCTTGTGGTCAGTTTCCGCCATGCAGGTGCTTGACGCAACTGGCTGTTTGCACCAGCGAGGCGCTGGCGCGAGTTAGATGATCTGAGCCGACAGGAGGTTCAGTCAAAACGTCCTGTGGTCCATGTGTACTTCAACCGCAAAAAACCAATGTCCACGTCCACTTGAGGAGACAAGTATTTTTGAACCTGCCTCAAGTGCAGGGGCACTTTTGTTGCTTGGACATGGACGTGTTGAAGCTCTAAACCGGTACTGGAGCGCAGGCCGATGCATCCATCATCCCGGCCTTGTCAGGCATCCTTCATCGGGATTTGGCGACAAAGAACGTCCTGTCCGGACCTTAAAAGCAAAGCCTGAGATGGCATTTGCTTGATTGTTGGAGCACAGACAAAGGTTCAACCTGTCTGGAGAGATCAAAGTGTGCGACTTCGGCATTTCTCGGGTTGCGTTTGGTGAGGACCGCTGCCGGTGTCCCGGTCCGCAAATCTCTTCCACAAATCCCGCAGGATGATGACTTTGGCTTCGTGTCCGCGAAGGCCCGTGCGACTCATCGCATGGCTCAAACCGCGGGATGGGCAGGCGATGGAGCCACCCAACATGATCGTCTCCCTACCATATCGTGGGGCCCTGAGGGCACTCAGCGAAGGGCCTCAGAGCTCCCTTATTGTCATCTCACGAATGTCAAGAAGGGGTTTCGGCACGTGAGGCGCCATCGAACTACTGCTGGGAGACGCTCGGAAACGCAGAGGGCTTCCATGCGGAGCTCGTAGTTTTGTTTTGGTGGGAGCCGAAGAGCAGCTTGCCAAGTCTGCAAGTCTTCCTTGCAAGCACTGGGCATGCGTGCGCCTAGGAAACAAAGTATGGACCCGGCCTGGATATTTGGTCGGTGGGGTGCATCCTTGCCGAGCCGGCGCGCCCAGCTGTGCCACTCCAGAAGTTCGTTCCCTGTGGGTTGGACGTGTCATTCGGTTGCCAGGCTGCGGTTTGTTTGGGCTGATGTTCGGCTGGAAGCTGAACGGAGCTCGCAACAGCTCGGCCCAGGATCCTTCTGTGCCAGACCGGCCGGAGGCAGCCCTTCTTCGGGGGGAACTTGGAGAACCCCAACAAGCTCTCGCCTCGGGTTGCAACACCTTGGCCTGGGATGGAAGGAACAACACCCATTTCTGGGGGTCCCTCCCTAGAGACATACTCAAATTCTACGATATTGGTTGGTGACAGTTGCATTCCAGCTGAATCGAGCCAGCCTAGGAACCCCACCATGTACGTGGAAGAGATTTTCCAGATCATGGGCAAGCCCACGGATGAGCCGTCAGCTTAGCCGATCTCCACTTTGGGTCTGCAGAGAAGTGCCACGGAGTTGTCGCACAGGCTCCCTGCAAGTCCTTTTTTTGGGGTTTTGCTGCATGGCAGCGAGCTTGCTGTTGCCAGCCTTTCTTCGGCCAGTCATCCGTGCGAAGTCCGTTTTTTCCCCCGAGCCTTTGCGGCTGTGCTCCGGGATCGAGTTGCGAAGGACGTGGCCGGGTCTGCACAAACTGCCGCTGTTCAAGACCTACAACACCGGCAAGGCTCTCCCGTTGGCCGTTTGTCTCAGGGTTGGAGGATTGGGATGGTTTGAAGGGGTTCTCCCATTTGTCCCTTGGAGCCCCACCGCCCGTTTCTGTCACGAGCTTCTCTGCGCTCGCGTTCGCGTGCGCAGATTAGCAGCGCCAAGCCTCAGAAGGAGCAGGGGGATGAGCTGGGGAGCCCAGGAGCCTTCGCCGCAAGGTCTCAAGTCCTCATGGCCCCAGCGGTTCCTCCTCCTGACCCTTTCTGTGGTTTGGAATCCTTGTTTTTGTCCGACACAGTTTTGTTTGGATACAAACCCCTCCCAAGTTATGGCTTAGTTTCCTGCAGATGTTCATGTGCAACCCCAACAAGGTACCTGCCGCCCCCAAAAAGAAGAAAAACAATAGGAAAATAACAAGAAAAAAAAGGGCGAAAAGGACACGGCTCAGGCGTGTCCCCGTGTCCCCGGCTTCGCGCCAAGTGCTAGCCGCGCGTAGGCGCGCCTTCCTGCGGAAGTTCTTCCGGTCCGGCGAGGGGAAGCCGGCGGACTCCAAGTGACGCCGGAAGTTCTACGTGGGTTGGGGGTGGGTTGGGGGGCGGGGTTGGGTTGGGGGGTCCAAGGAGGACTGGGAGATGCTGTGGATGGTGGCGAAACCCAGAAATCGCAGCACTTTGATACGATGAACCATGATTTGCTGATAATTGCAGGGGAATGATCAGAAAAACCAGGGTCTCTTAGGTGCAGGATATTGTCCATCCACAGCAGGTTGGGGTTTCTACGACCCGTGTTTTTCCCCAGACAGCTGAAAGCTATCGGGGTTCTAACTTCTAATAAAGAAGGGAAAGTGATTTGCGAGATTGCGGGCCGGGTGCTGGGGGGCATGCAGTTTGGGGTGCTGGTGGAGGTGCTGTTTTGCGAGCTTGACGGCCGAGCGCTAGGGGGCGTGCAGTTTGCAGTGCTGGTGGAGGTGCCACTTTGCGAGATTGACGGCCGGGTGCTAGGGGGCATGCAGTTTGGGGTGTTGGTGGAGGTGCCGCTTTGCGAGATTGACGGCCAAGTGCTAGGGGTCATGCAGTTTGTGGTGCTGTTGGAGGTGCTGTTTTGCGAGATTGACGGACGTGCTAGGGGGCATGCAGTCTGGGGTGTTGGTGGAGGCGCTGTTTTGCAAGATTGACGGCCAAGTGCTAGGGGTCATGTAGTTGGGGTGCTGGTGGAGGTGCTGCTTTGCGAGATTGACGGCCGGGTGCTACCGCTTTGCGAGATTGACGGCCGGGTGCTAGGGGGCATGCAGTTTCGGGCGCTGGTGGAGGTGCTGCTTTGCGAGATAGGGGGCATGTAGTTTGGAGTGTTGGTGGAGGTGCTGTTTTGCGAGACTGACGGCCGGGTGCTAGGGGTCATGCAGTTTCGGGTGCTGGCGCCGCTTTGCGAGATAGGGGGCATGTAGTTTGGAGTGTTGGAGGTGCTGTTGGCCGGGCGCTAGGGGGCATGCAGTTGCGGGTGCTGGCGCTTTGTGAGATAGGGGGCATGTAGTTTGGAGTGTTGGTGGAGGTGCTGTTTTGCGAGATTGGCGGCCGGGTGCTAGGGGGCATGCAGTTTCGGGTGCTGGTGGAGGTGCCGCTTTGCGAGATTGACGGCCGGGTGCTAGGGGGCATGCAGTTGCGGGTGCTGGCGCTTTGTGAGATAGGGGGCATGTAGTTTGGAGTGTTGGTGGAGACTCACTAGGACGTTGCCTGCGCGTCTATGTAGCGCACTATGCTGAGTAGCTGTGGTATTTTCATGATGCTGTCAACATCATCAGGATGCTGTCAACATCATCATCATCATCATCATCATCATCATCATCATCAGCATCATCATCATCATCATCATCATCATCATCATCATCATCATCATCATCATCATCATCATCATCATCATCATCATCATCATCATCATCATCATCATCATCATCATCATGCCGCGGGAACCATTATGATGCTGCGTCCTGGTTCGTAGCTGTGGTGTGCTATCTGGGGTCTATGCTGGTGTATTTGTTGTTCATTTTCCCAATGAATTTGAGAGGGATTCTTGGGACAGGTCTTTGTGTTCAAGGGCTTTTACTGAGCAAGGGCGTGCTGGCCGCTGCAAGAAAGTGGGTCCTTTCACTAAGTCAAACTGTCAAATCGTCAAATAGTTGTTTTGGCTGCTTGGCTAGTGAGCTGGTTTCCTCCGTCGGCTAGATGGCTTGTCAATCAGCTTTAAGTCAGCACAGCCAGCCAGTTCGACACGCGGAACTTATCCGTAAACTAGTAAGTCTCTGGTTCTGTGGCCTTCCCTTTTCCAACTACCCACTTTTGTCAGGGCACATTGGGGGAACAATCCAGAATTCCCCCAACAGAGGCAGTGAAGTATCCGTTTTCGGGTCATCTTCTTGAGGATTCCTGGAGGGACACAATAGTAACATGGCTGTCCCAAGGTACCATTGGGGTAGGTGCCCACCCATTTTAGGCTTTAGTTTAGTGGTTGGATTGAATGGGATGTTCACTGAAGGGGATGGGGTTTTGACCCACACCCATATCGTTGTAGTGGCTTCCCTCAATGGTCGTCCCATGTGGGACCTTTTGATCAAAGCAACCGGAATGATGACTGCCCTGGAAATACCAGCAAACAGTGGTTTCCCATTCAGTATCAATCATATCATTTTAGTCGCTTCCCCCAGTGGTCATCGCATGTGGGGACCTTTTGATCAGAATGACAACAGGTACTGCCTTACAGAGAGCTTCTTCGAGCTCTTGGCCGGGCTGTTGGCGCCGGGCGCCCAGCAGCCCGCGTGAATCCTAAACCCTAAAAAGCCGCTGGTTTGTCTCGGTGTTTGCTGCCTCAAAAGGCACCCCCCCCCCCGGGGATAGCTGCCTGTTATTTAGCTTCAGGGCTTTTTTGGGTTGGTTCAATTTGTCAAATCCGTCAGGATTTGGGGCAGATCTCATGGCCGCAACTTCTGGAGGGTGGCCACCGCTAAGGGGGAGTGAGCGTACAAGCAGCTAACGGTCTGCGACAAAATTCAGATGACAAACTCTGGCTTACTGGAATCGTGTTTTGCTTGAACAAAAACCCAGCCATGCCCATGTTTTCTTCTCCTTGTTGAGTTCAGAAGGGCCCCTTGGGATTCGGAGGCGTATTCACTTGGGCAGTTTGCTGATTGGTCATCGACCGCAGAGTTTCAGGTCTATTCTTAGCTTGGGGTGGACATGGAGGCCCCACCCAGATTTCCGGCCACCCGCATTTCCTGTGTTCTCTTGGAGAAGCAAGCAACTTTGTCTGGGATAGTGGTTCTTTACCATCTTCAGCACAGTGCAAAGCCGCGCAGGGGCACAAGGTCAAATCTTGCAAGCTTCCCATGTGAGCAAACCAGATATTTGGATTGCGAACTCCGTTCGGAAACCCAACGGACTGGGAATTTTTGCAGTGACCGCAGCAAACGTTCTGGTTCCATCCTGTCGCAAGAGGGCGCTCTGAAGCTTGGCTCAGGCTGTGCCCCAAGCAACGCCTCACTGCGGCGGGAGCCTCACCCCATCCAAGCAGGCAATCCCAGCGGGGGAACCCTTGTTTCTGGGGTGTACAGGGAACCAACGGGGAAAACCCAACCATTTTAAGGCACTCCCAGCTCCTGTATCCCCGGCTTCCTCATTTGGTCGGCTGCTGCGCACCAGGCGGAAGCACTGCAGCATCCCTTCTTTACGAAGGCGAGGAGGGGGATCGGTGGTGTGCCACGTTTCTGGTGCTGACAGCAAGCGCGCAAAGTTTGTTTCTTTCTTTTTTCTTAATTTCATGAATCTCCGACGGGCTTGCTGGGCATGGTATTTGCCGAATGGGTCTGAAGAATCGTTGAGACAAAGCAACAGTTGTACGGAGCGGCATATGCAGCGAATCACAGCGAAACATAACTCACGGCCAAATCTGATGGCATTGTCAATCGCTTTCAGCAGGGCTCCTTAGAAGACACAGCTTGGCCGTTTGAAGTTCGACCTTTTTCCACCAGACCAGGAAAACCACCATCTTGAGGATATGTTCCGGGGTTTCTCCACATGGTACCCCAACCTTCCCTTCTGGTTTCTCTTAAAGCCCTCCCACAGGATTTTGGCAGCCTGCTTTAGAAGCCGAAGCCCCAACAAATCGTCCCCACTTCCGGGACCGGTGTCACGTCAGGGCACCAGCCTGACTCACTCTGGCCTCCTGATCTTATTGGGCAGAAGCAAGCTGTGAGCACGGCCAAAACCCTTCAGCCAGCAGAATTTACTGCCAGCGCACCTACGGCCAAGAACTACCCACCGACCTCTCCAGCGCTGGGGAAACGAAGTGCCAGGAGAAGCCGGTGCCGGAGTGGCACGCCTGGCACTGGGCGCTGGCCTCCGCGGAGATCCCCCGGGGCGCCCGGCGCTTGGCGTCGCAGGGAAGACATCCGGTGGGTAGATTACAGGACAGGGCCCAAGGTTTGTTTAAACCAAGCATGGCTTTGTAAGGGAAGGCAAACGGAGGTTGGTTGAGGCAAACATGATTTGAACAATCTGATTCGCCCAAGCGTGGTCCTCGCCTGGCCAGTTGCATTCTGAGCGAGTTTATGCCAGCGTTCAAAGGGCGAAACATCCCTGGCCCTTTGATTCTTTCCATGGCGCCTGTCGCTTTTTGGGGACCTGACTCAAGTGTGCGGGCTCCAAACACTTGCCTCGCCGGGTTTTTCGCGATTTTGGAAGCAGCGTGGAACAGCGTTCGGCCTTCTTGGGATGCTGCGGCCGCTTTTCTGAGGATAAGAAAGCCAAGGCCGGCGAGGACGAGGCTGGGAAGAGATATCATCAGAGCTGGAGCTGGGTCAAAACCAATACCATTTTGGGGTAGGCTTTATGGTGGGGATTGGGATGTCTGGGGGCTAACCGGGCTTTTGACCCTTGACCAGCAGCCCGATTTGCTCGACTCGCGATGGCGTGAGGCGAGAAAGCTGCTGAAGCAGCTGTCGAAGGAGGAAGTAGGCCGGCCCTCAAACTTTGAGACAGCCTCCCGGGTCCCAAGCTGTTTGATGGGCCCGGGCTCACTGAGTGACTTGAATCCGCTATATCCAAGATCCCGTTGTATCGTTATACAGGTATACCTCTAATTTCGATTTAGGTCTGCTTCTTGTTTGGAGCCCTTTTTGTTTTGAAGCTCAGAGGATTTTTATTTGCTGGGTGTTCTTTGAGGCGGCGTCGTGGAGGACGACAAGGGCAAAGCTCCTGGGGGCAAGGCCCCGATGTCTGCCAATCCCAACAGCGAAGCGGATACACAGCCCAAGTCCGAAAGGCTCGCCAGGTTTGGGGCAAACCTTTTGTACGTCAGCTCCAGTTAGAGAGAGAGAGAGAGAGAGCCAGAGAGAGAGAAGCAGGGGATTCGGATATGGGCAAGCTGTGAATGGGACTGTTGGGAAAGATGCAAAAGGACTAGCCAACGAAGGAGATTTATTGAGGCCAGTGTTTCAGCCTGCCTTTTCCTGCGCATGGGTCACTGTACCCCAAGCGCTGAACCTGTATTTTTCCGAATCCACACATGTGGGAGGTCTGTTTGTGGCCTTTGTTCCTTCTCAAAGCTGCATACATCATTGCACAGCCTAACATTGAGATCGTTTCGGCGCTCGGCTGGCCCGCGCATGCTGAGAGTTCCCTTGTTGAACATTGAGCCTGACAGCTGCCGGTGCTCCATGTGGCACCCACCGCGTAGATTTGAGCGCGTAGGCGCTTTGCCGCGCGCAGTATTCGTCTCACATTTTCGAGCTCCGTGGAAGATCGATCCAGCGCAAGGCCAAGGCGGTGTTGGAGAAGTGGCGGGAGCAAGCCGAGAAGCGGCAGCAGCAGGTGCGGGTTGAGCCCCCTCATAACATTAATAATATGCAATACTGCTTTTTTAGAAGTAACGATTTTATTGGTTGATATAAGGTTTTTGCCTGGCCTGACCTTCAAAGTGGATGCCAGAAGTGGCAGGCATCAAATAGCTGACCTGGATGTGTGAAGTAGACATGGCGGACAAGAATCGAACTCTAGTGGCTGGCCAGATGGGGCCGCCCGATTGCCTAGAGATTGGGCTGCTTCGCGTGGGATGACAAACGGCTAAGCACGGAGTCCACACGCATGGCTGACTTGACAGTATGCCGGGTTTCCCGTGTTTCTGAGCATGTGTTCCAGATGCTTTTAGGCTCGTTTCTCCGGACGGGGACTATCCTGTTGGCAATGCAAGCCTTGAGATTCGTGAGGCGCCTCGTGCAACCCAAATACAGCCGGGAGCGTATGCAAGATACCAGCGGTCGCAAGTAGGGGTCGCTGGAAAGCGACAGGGAACAGGATGAAAAGACATAGGCGTGGCATTCCCACCAGGTTTCTGAGCCAGTGAGCTTACACATGAGAAGGCTTGAAGGGGGGTTGTGCGGCAGACTGGCATGTTTATCTTGAACAAACCGGGACGCAAGGAGCTGAAGCGCAGCAACTCAATGAAGGAGAAGGCCAAGGCGGGCTGGGGTTCTGACCTCTGGTTCTTGGTCAGCAGTTTGGCCGGTCAACAATAGGTATCCGAAATGGACGCCTGGTACATGGAAATGTGGACTAAACCCTGCGGCGCGTATCCTGGTGGGTCAATGTTCACCCAGGTCTCACTGATGCCGCTGAATCGGCTCTTGAGGCGGAGGAAGTACCCGGCTGGACGAAGCACTGGTCCAGTTCCCAGCAACGGTACTACTACCACAACGTCAAGACAGGCGGCAAATCGGAGTCTGGCTCGAGCTTGCTGCAAAGCCCGATTCGGGTAGATGAAGGTTCAGGAATAGCCGCCTTTCCATTTCTTTACATGGTTCTGGGTATGTTTGATCCAGGCCCCAACTTCATTAGAGATGAATGCCGACTTTCCTGACCCAAGCAGGGACACCTTTGTTTCAGCTGATCCCTCCTGGCATTTGTTTTTCTCCTTCATGACCCTTTACACCTTTTGGGCACAGTGGCATGGCTCTCACGTTGTGGCCTCCCCGACATTGCAACTGTGCAGGCAAGAACAGCTGGACCTTGCCATCCAAATAATTCATCCCTCGAAGAAAAGGAGCGCAGCCGCCGCAAAAGGGTCAGCGTTTCGTCGGATCATACCTTTCCATACATCAGTTGCTCTTGTTTCTTTATGTGTTTTTTTTTTCCTTTTTTTTTTTTCTTCTTCCTCTGTATGGGTAATATTACGCTACGGGGAGCTTTTAAGTGGCTTAGTTTAGGGTTTGGGCTGGCAAATTGCTACCAGCAGTCTACCAAAAAGCATATAAAAGAGAAGAATTACAAGAAAGGAAAAGCAAGTTATAAAAGCAAACATATTAACCCAACAATAAAACCAAATATGTATTTCTTTTGCTTAAGCGCGTACGACTCGGAGACGCGCAATGCGACGTTTTTTGACTCGCGGGACATCGCTTTTCTTCTCTCGGCTCCGGCGACAGGCGATGTACGCTTGCCTCAATTACGCTGGCCAGCTGCCAGCTTTTCATGATGTGCCGGTTGTGCTCACTCGCACTGGTGGGGCTGGCAACCTGAAAACTGTAGAACTTCACGTTGGATGCGCCATGTTTCTTCCAACATTGAGGCAGTTGATCATGGTCGCCTTGCTTAGCCGTGTCTAAAGCGCAAAGCAAGCGACAGCCGTTACAGAGAGCGGTCGCTCACGGCTTTGGGACTTCCGCGCCAGCGTATCGGAGTTTGGTGGCCGTTGCCTCCGCAATGCGACGCTGGTACGAACGGTGCCTTGCGATGTCAGCATTGCGTTTGCAATGAGATCCATGCCAAGAAGGCCAATGAGATCCAGTTAGTTGGCCAGTGGTTCTGAGTTTTGCCCGGAAACAGAAATGATGCACAGCATTCGGAGCGGCTGCTATTGGCAAATTTCGCTCCGCAATCTGCGCTTTGCGTGTGTTGGTCCACACCTTGGTCCCTTTGTTTCTCGTATGTTCGGTCTTGGCACGTGTAGCAATGTTTTGATTTTGCCAATCATGCCTGTCATCAGCCACATGATTATCTTGCCACTCGTGTTCTCTGGCTCTACAATGTCCATTGGCAACAGAGCATAACAGGAACAGCCCTTCCTCATTGGCCTCTCGGTCTGCTGCCATTTTCTGCGTTAGAACCGGCAACTGGGTGAGCGCAGAGTCAGAAATAAGCGAAGCTGTCGCGCCAGCCGCCAGCCGCTGCAAGAGACAAAGTCTGGCATGATGCATGCCCGCTCGACTGTTTGACTGCTGGCGCTTTGCTCCTGTTGTGCCTGTCGTTATTCCGAGGCACGACGGTGGCACCATGACGTCTGCCTGCGTGACGTCGCATGACGCAGTGCAAGCAGTTTCACAGTGCCATGACGACGTAACTAGGCGCCTAACACAGTGTGCAAAAACAGGGGGATGCCCTGGTCAGCGATTCAGCGCAGCTGGTGCTTCCCACTTGGAAACTGGCAGCCCACGGCCTAAAACAGAAAATCCTTCTGCGCCCTCTTGGCTCCTTTAGAGCGACGCTCATTTCGGGGTTTTGTTGTCGTGAGGTGCCGCACGCTCGATCCCGTCTTTCGCTTCACGTTGCCTTGCGGAGGCAACAGATTGAGGATGCTATGGGTGTACGGCAGTGCTGAAACCAAACGCGGAGAGAGAAGCAAGCGCAGCCTTTGCGCTTGAAATTTGGCTACGCCCGTCAGAGAGAGAGACCATGGTGCTCCGGGAGGCAAACACCCGCGCTTCGGTTTGCCTTTGCGCCGCCCTGCTTTCCAGTCTTGAGAGATCCTATTTGCGTTGTCCTGAGCCACAGCCCGGGGATTCCCGAGACAAGTGTCAAGCGGCAGAGCCTAACACTAAGTGGCTCCAAGTGAGTGACGTGTGGCACCCTATCCAACATGAGCCGATTGAAGCACTCCTCCCCAGCATCCTGTGGCCGACCGGGAGGCAGCTCGGGCCTTCACGGTCTGGCAGGAAGCCGAGACGCACCTGCGGTTTGCCTGGGTCAGCTCATAGCCGAGCAAGCCGAATAGCCCACAAGAATGGTCCAGGATGCCCCGCATTCTTTGGGCGCAAGTCGTTTTAAAGTTGCAGCGTCCATGTGCGCTGAGACGGAATTCGGAAACGCTACCGCATTTGAGAGGATCATGCTCGCGGCCAGGCGGAGGGAAGTCCCGGACATGAAACGCCACTATCCTTGCAGGGGGCGGAGCGACTTGCAAAAAACAGACGCGACATTTTGACCAAGATATTCAGAACACAGTGGTGTGTAACTCAGGAATCAGGAAATCATAGAATCATAGAACGAGACATTTAGAAACATGAACGCGCAATTCACAAAACATTCCGCGCTCGGAAAACAGCGGTTGGGGCGCTTGGGACAGTCGGGATGCAGTCAGGATGGTCAGGATGGGTCGGAATGGGTTGGAGTGGCTGTTACGGTCGAAAAATTGGAACTGGATAGGGCGCGTCGGCTTGACAACCAATTCCAACTGGTCAGAAGCAAGCCAGCTGCCCTTGTCCATTTGGGCGCGCGTCTCAGTTGCCTGTTCCGCGCAACCGCCCGTCTGCCTACTTGCCTGCCTGCTTGCCTGCCTGCAAACTGCACGTGCGTTGGTTTTCACTTCCGCCTCACAGAAATGAGCTTGGGGCGAATCGCGCGAAGCAACAACATCAATCAGGCCAGACAGACAATGACAAAGTTTGAGGCTCAAGCCGCCGGCTTCCGGCCCAAAGGCGAGAAGCTGCGTTGAGCGGCGCCCCTTGAGGCCGCCGCCTCGCTGGCCGCCTGGCCCGCTCGCTTGCGTTTCAGCCCCCCCGCCCCCGTCATTCAGATGCCCAATAGGCGCTCGCGCGATATTTTGGCGAAGGCCGCTTCCTGCTTCTGCTGCATCACCCGCGCGTCCCTTTGCCTTTGGCATGCGCTGGGTGTGTTTGTGGGCGGCCTCCTGCTGGGTGGTCACCTTTCTCCCTTGTGGGGCGCAGCTTGCGGTCGACACCGCTCCTTGTTTCGGTGTCGGGCCCAGTTGGCCAGGCAGCGTGTCTACCACTGCCGTGCCGAGGAGCGCACCTACCAGGAGCTCCGATGCCGCTTGGTCGTGCCCGTCCTCGAGGCTCGCTTCCGCCAAGCCTTGACAGCAGCTCCTGTAACGCCTGGCGATGATGAAGCTCCGAACCCTCGCATCCCGCCCTGCCCTTTTGCTCCAGCCTGCTGAGCTGAAACTCGCCCCGTGTGGAACAAGGTGCCGGTCTGAGGACCCTCCGGCCCCATGAGGGAATCAGCACGGCATGCGCTCGAAAACGAGGTCGGTTTTGGAATGCCGCCAACGAGCAACTTGTGCGACTTCGGAAACTGGAGCCAACCTTTTTTCCCGAAAGCATCGCGAAGGGTTCTTCCGTGCGGAGCCCTTGGACAAGTTACACAGAGCCAAGTTGCACAGAGCCAAGTTGCACAGAGCCAAGTTACATAGAGCCAAGTTACATGGAGCCAAGTTACATAGAGCCAAGTTACATAGAGCCAAGTTACATAGAGCCAAGTTACATAGAGCCAAGTTACATAGAGCCAAGTTACATAGAGCCAAGTTACATAGAGCCAAGTTACATAGAGCCAAGTTACATAGAGCCAAGTTACAAGTTACATAGAGCCAAGTTACATAGAGCCAAGTTACATAGAGCCAAGTTACATAGAGCCAAGTTACATAGAGCCAAGTTACATAGAGCCAAGTTACATAGAGCCAAGTTACAGCCAAGTTACATAGAGCAAGTTACATAGAGCCAAGTTACATAGAGCCAAGTTACATAGAGCCAAGTTACATAGAGCCAAGGAGCCAAGTAGAGCCAAGTTACATAGAGCCAAGTTACATAGAGCCAAGTTACATAGAGCCAAGTTACATAGAGCCAAGTTGCATAGAGCCAAGTTACATAGAGCCAAGTTACATAGAGCTAAGTTACATAGAGCCAAGTTACATAGAGCCAAGTTGCATAGAGCCAAGTGGCACAGAGCCAAGTGGCTCTGTGGCACAGAGCCGAGGTTAGGTAGAGCTTACGTAGAGCTTCGGCGTAAGCAGCTATGTAAGTTAGTTTAGGTTTCTAAGGCGCCGGGGCGGGAGTTTGATCGTCGCTCGGGATTGCGACCCTCTGCGGAGATTCGCGTGGTCGAGGTCAAAAAACTGGGGACTTTTCACGATTTCTGCGGTGCGCGCGCGACCCTCTGCGGAGATTCGCGTGGTCGAGGGGAAAAACTTAGGACTTTTTACGATTTCTGCAAGCTGCGCGCGACCCTCTGCGGAGATTCGCGTGGTCGAGGTTAAAAAACTGCGGACTTTTTACGATTTGTGCAAGCTGCGCGCGACCCTCTGCGGAGATTCGCGTGGTCGAGGTCCAAAAGCTGAGGACTCTTTGCGATTTCTGCAAGCCGCGTGCGACCCTCTGCGGAGATTCGCGTGGTCGAGGTTCAAAAACTGGGGACTTTTCACGATTTCTGCGGTGCGCGCGCGACCCTCTGCGGAGATTCGCGTGGTCGAGGTTCAAAAACTGGGGACTTTTTACGATTTCTGCGGTGCGCGCGCGCGCGACCCTCTGCGAAGATCGTGCGCGTCGAAGCGCCCTCGCTGTGGCAGCGTGCGAATTTGTCTTAGTCTCGGCGAACCCTCTGCGGAGATTGTGCGTGTCGAAGCGCTCTCGCTGTGGCGCCCGCGAAACTCGTGGTTTGCGCGTATGCTTTCGCAATCGCGGCAGCTCCGGCTTGAAAATCGCAGCTTTTAAGTACAAACGTAGTACGCGGAGCGTGCTCCTGCAGCTCCGGCTGGAAAATCGCGACTTTTAAGCACAGACGTAGTACGCGGAGCGTGCTCCCGCAGCTCAGGCTGGAACATCGCAACATTTAAGTACAAACGTAGTACGCGGAGCGCACCCCCGCAGCCGGCTTGAAAATCGCAACGTAGTACGCGGACCGTACTCCTGCAGCTCCGGCTGGAAAATCGCAACTTTTAAGTAAAGACGTAGTATGCGGAGCGTGCTCCCGCAGCTCAGGCTGGAAAATCGCAACATTAAGTACAAACGTAGTACGCGGAGCGCACCCCCGCAGCTCCGGCTGGAAAAT